AACTGGGGAGAAACACTAACTGGCCACCTGCCAGCTGGGCCCTGGGGGTGAAGCCAGCCGGGGGAGAAGCGCAGCGGGCCCACCAGGACTGTGTTCATGCCCATAAAACCTCGCCCTGTCACAGCATTTCTTCCTCAGAATTCCTGCATGCCTTTGAGATAAGAATCATTGTGACAGCTCCTTTCTGATTTTCCATGCCTCCATTTTTAAGGCATTTATCCTCAGTCCCAAGCTAAGGGTTCACAGGAGAACACTTCCAAACTGCTAGAAGTTCAATCAGCACAAAAGAGAAATTAGATCCCTCGCCATGATTTAAGTAAATTCCAACCCCAAGGCTACTGGCTATTTCTCCAGTGTCTAATCCTGCACACGCATTTGCTTTCAAAAGAAGGCAAGGTTTTCCAAAGGCTCCCTTCTCCAGGCCTCTGGGGGAATTTTGAATCCCCTTCTCCTGAATAAGAGAAAAGCCTGAGGGAAAGGCTGGGGCCCCAGCAGCCCACCCCAGTCACCGCACAAACCTGGCTTCTGGAATTCTGGCGGAAGAGGCCAGCCCGGTTAGGGCAAGGAGAGGCTCCCCTGGCCTGGCACCTTCAGAAGGCATCTGACACCGCCCAGGGCTGAGCTTGCCCCCTTGCCAGGTAGGAGCGGGACTCTGTGGCCACCCAGTGTGCACCTGATTTTTGTCTGTGCTTTTCACCTCTGCGGTTTGGTACACATTGGAAAAGCGATGCTGACTGAGTAGTTAAAAGCCTCTTCTGGTCAAATGCTGTGTCTCCTTCCGGAGATTAGGTTGGAAAAGCTATTCTCGCTCACAAGAACGTTTAAGCTGAAGAACTGAAAAATGTGAATGAGGAAGCTCAAAGTTTGGTGAAGAAACCACAAAATTTTTCCCAAGTTTCTCTTACTGTCTACCACGGGAAGCAACACACATTGTACTGACACATGTGGTGTCAGGAAGCACCCCTCCCTGGCCCCGCCCCGCCCCAGGTCTGCCCCACCCCAGGTCTGCCGGAGACAGGACTCAGAAGCACGGCCCAGGGAGGGCGCTCCCCCTCCCCTCTCTCCAGTGCCTCTTCTCCTCAAGCTGTCAGGCACCTTTAGTTCTGGTCCTGGAGAACACCTTGTATGCTGTCCTTCTGCCTGCAGAAGTGCTCTGCCGGCTGTCAAAGGGGCAGCAGTCGGAGGGGCAGAGTGGAAGCAGAGTGGTAGCACCCTGCAGGGCCTGGGCCAGCCTGGGATGAGCCAGGAGTGGAGCCACGCAATCAAAGGCACCCCTGCCCCAGCGGGCACAGCGCTCCCCACTGGGCCCTGAACCCAGCGAGAGGAGCCTTGGGGAGGGCATGGAGACACAACGAGGGGGTCCCAGACAAGGGACCAGACAGACATTAAGGACAGTGCACTCCTTGGCAAAAATGGCAGAAAAAGCTGGTTATCAAGCCCCAAATCCCAAACTGACAATATCATGGTGGCTAACCCTGGAGGTGTGGGGAGAAAGACACGCCAGCCTCTGTACTGCACAGCACGTTTCAGTTTTTAAAGGAAATAATCTCCTCCTCTTGCCTCTCCCGGCCCCGGTTCCTTTCACCTGGCAGCAAGCCCCTGCAATCCCTTTCATCCCGCTACTGCAACTGAGAACTGGAAAGAGCGGGGAGAAATCAGAGAGCGCCCAGTCGGCCATGCTGGTACTCGGGCACACGCCCACGGCTCCCTGTCCGTGGGCAACACCTTCAGAACTACAAGGTCACCATAAATGCTGCTTACCTGGGATCAGCCACTCTCTATGTAGGCCAAATACTAAGTCCTGAATTTTGAAACTGAACGTTTACAACTATGCAGGTGCATGAAGTCGCACACGGAGTGTTCACTACTCATCTCTCCACGTGACCCCATTTGACCTCCAAAGCTGAAACTGTCCACAAGGATGGCTGTCATGGCTACCTTAGATGAGTTCACCCTGGGAACAGAGGCCCGTATGGCACAGGTGGAGAGGACACGAACATTCCCATGAAGTAGTGCTCAGGGTTGCTAAAGGCACAGCCAGGTGAGCGGCCCCGTGGCCACGTGCTGCCCTGCCACCACGCTGAAGAAAAAGCACTGGGTTAAGGCCCATGCTGGGCACAGGGTGGGCAGCTCCACCGTGACAGGTTTAGAGATGGGAAGCAGGCCTAGGGACCTGGCCCGGCTTTCCTGGGAGGTCCATTAAGAGCGCAGGGAGCTGCGGCTCCACCTGCCAGGGTCTTTACACTGCAGAGAAAGAAAAGTCGACTAGGTCTTCACTCTGCTGAATCATATTCACCAGGCAAACCAGTATCAGTGATCGTTATCTCTATATTTAATTACAAAGGTGTGCAAAACAGAAAGACCTAAATGCCCAAAATGAGTTAACAAGATAACCACCATCTTGACATGCCATATGCAGCTCAAGGGGCCACCTCACCCAATGTGAAAGCTACAATTTGAAAAGCAGCTCCTTGCGCAGCAGTAGAGAGCGAGGATGAAGGACTGCGGTCGCCGGGGGAGCAGCACCCCCTCCCACTGCTGAGGAAGCCACCGGCCACCAGGGCCCAGGCTGAGGCTCCAGGGTGGGAGCCACTGAGGATGAGGCCCAAGGGCATGGCCAGCGCCAGCATCCCAAGAGTAATCCCTGAGCCACAGCCGCCATCCAAGAACAAGGAAAAGGGGAAACCTGTACTTCTGCTTCCTCTAGGGGGGACTAAGCCCAAATAAGGGCCATGTCAGGGAGAAGTTGGAAGTCTTGGGGAGTCTCCAGCTTTGGCTTTATGAAAAAAAGCGGAGTCGCACGTGCCTTTCTGACCCAGCCCCCCCCACCCCCGCAACCAAAAACCCAAAAAACTTTTTTTCCCTTATTGGGAAAACACATAAGCAAAGCACATCTGACCTAAAGGTCTTCGCTTATGCACATCTGACCTAAAGGTCTTCGCTTATGTGGCAAGAGGCACTTCTGCGATGCTGTTGGTGTCCTCAGCCTGCAGTTCCCACGAACTGTCCAGGCTCTGAGTAAGGTGGGTATTTTAGTGCACAGAATCTCAATTAAAGTGCTACAAACTGCTTCTTTGAAAAAAGATGTTTATTAAACAACTTTAATTGTCATAAAATGACTAAAATGGGTTTTAAAAATTAAGGCTCTTCTCTTTCTGTGGATTGCCAGAACAATGTAAAAATAATATCAATCAACCCTGCTAAACGTTTTGTTCCTAAGGTTAAATTTCATAGATTCCTAAACATTTTGTGATTAAGATAAAAAATTGGACTATAAATGACAATTCATGGCCATCTGTGCTGAACACACACTGATCAGGTGTACAATATTCTAATTGAGTAGTTAAGCAAAAATATTCCAGTTAAAGCATAAATTGTAATTTTAGCATTTTAAAGTCATTGTTTCCCCACACTGTCATGATTTCCCTAAAATTGAAATAGTCTAATACAGGAAGGCTAACCTTGGGACTCTATATACTCCCAGGAGGATGACTGACTTGGCTGGCAATTACTTTGATTATATTTTTTTAAATGCTCTAAGGTAAATTATCAAATGATTCAGAATTACATGGCATGCAGTATCCAAAATTATGGCTCTGATGCATTTAGATTTACATTAAGAATAAGAAGTGTCATTCACATTCATTGTACACCCCACCCCTCCCACAAAAAAAAAAAGTCACTACCTAGTCAAGTTCTAGATCTGGTGCAGCATTAAGGATTAAAACTTACCACTTTACCAGGCCTTCCCCATGTGCAAATAAATCCCTCCTGACAAGCAGTGACTATACAGTCTTCAAGAAAAATTAATACAGTCAGTCTTTCATGTGCTATCTTTTTACATATCAGCGGCTCTAACAAGGGAACGTCTTCCATTCGGGGGCACAGGGGCGTTCCCAAAGTTTTAGCAGGGTCCGTTTTGGTTTTGGTAACTAGATTCAGTTTGTCACTGCTCTTGCTAGAAATGTGTCCCATGCTATGATTTCGCTTGTGATCTTTCTCGTGGTGCCTCTCCTTCCGGTCATGTAGTGAAAGTGTTGCAAATTTGCTGACCCCAGAAGCAATGGCCCCGTCCATGACACTGCTTTTGCTGCCAGCATTTGAGACTGCTGAATGCGGAAGGCTGTTGGACCGTGGCAGAGGAGGGGGCACAGAGTTCCCGGGCGTTGTAACACTGTTCCCATTGCTTCCAGCAGGAGGACTCGTGGCATTCATGACATTTGTGTGTGTCCTTGCTCTTGAGAGGGGTTGGTGAGGGAAAAGGATATCTTCTGTAAGGTCCCATAAACACAGCTGTGTGTCCTGGCCCACGGAACCAAACCGGTACGTGACACTTACAGGGCGGCTGTCTGTAGAGTTCCGTTTGGAGAGCCTGGACTGTGTACTATTTGCTCGATCTCTGCCAAAATGAAGAAGGTCTTGGAAGTCCTCATCACTGCCACTGAACTCCATAGGGTCACTTTCTTCTACACTAGTGGTATAGGGGTCAAACGCTACAACACTGACCCAGGACTTGTGCCCGTGGCCTCTGGCTATTACTCGGCAGTCTACGAAGGACCAGACTGTCACCAAGTCATCCTCTCCACCTGTCACGATGTACTTCCCATCCGGGCTCCAGCACACACACAGCAAGCCCCCAAAGTAGCTTTTCATCGTACCGTGCAGCTCCACTGAGTCAAAGCTGAACACCCGCAGAAACCCGTCCTGGCTCACGCACGCTAAAAACTTGCCATCTGGGGAGAAAGCAAACTCGTTGAGGGCCCCCTCGCCAACCGTCCACTTAAGGAGAGGGTTCCTCGTGGATTTGCTCTTACAAGTGTGCACGGCAAAGCTCTCTCCCTGCTTCAGAAGCTGGTAGTGGGGGGCTGTGGTGCCACAAGTGTGCTCCACGTTATATAAGTACATGTTCCCACTCGAGTGGGCTACTAGGAAAAGGCTTTCCGAACCGGGAACCCATTTGACACAGGTAACTCGTGACTTGTCTATTAGTCTCTGTGAAGACAAAGGAGAACAAGTTAGCACAACGGAGAAGTCTCAAAGGTGCATGTTTCCAGCAAGCAAACTTGTGTATTTCCTGGTGGGAAGAGGCAAGTCCATCGGGGCCCTCCACGTTTTATCCTGCAGTCAGCCAGGCCAGCAAGGAGCATTTTGACCCCTTGTAGAATTACTTTCTAAAATCAGTGTTAGGCTACTGGCTTTCACTGAGGGAGTCAGGCAGTGAACAAATACTTGCAGAGGGGCCACAAAGTGCCAGATGCTCTGCCAGGCACAGGATTGTCCCCGGAGGGAACAGCCCTGCTGGGACGCTTTAACAGTAGGAGCATCTGATCTGGGGGTCACTGCAGTAACATGTGGCATCCCCTCTATGAAGACCCACAGCTAAAGTTTCTTGAGTCCTCACAGCCAGGAGAGCTCTGCCTCACCTCAAGGGTTTCTCTGCATTTATTGTCACTGTAAGTCATGGGCTGGCTCCATCTGCCCTCTGCTCTGATGGCTAGAAGGTGGGGAGTGAAATCTGCAGCCCACGTGACTCCAAAGTACGCCGCTGGGCGCTACCTCAGCCCTGGGTCCCCGAGGCTTCCTCACTCAAGCACTGCCCCATGCGCATCTCTGTCAGCATTTCCTCAAAACCCTCTCTGGTGGCATTAAGAGAAATATGTTGATGATTCATTCGGGAGTGTGTGTCTCATCATCACTCTACTCCATGCTAACTCCGGACCCCTAACCAACATGTTTCTTTAACAGGCATATGTGGGTAGTCTTGCCTTTAAAACCCAAAGAACAAAAGGCAAAGATACCACCCCCAACCAAAGGCACAAGTCTCCTTCCCTGCTTGCCAGTTGATCATGCAGTGGGGATTGCCAGCACAACAGCTTCCACGGGGGCGGACCCTTTCTAGACCATCTGAGCACCAAATCACATCACCAAAATGCATCCAGAAGATCCAAGACTCCCAAATCTACCTACAACTTCCACTGCCAAATGTTCTCCACTGCACCGAAGCCCCAGGAAAAGCGTCCCTTGAGGAGCCCAGCAGCCCCAGCAAGCTGAACACTACCACTCCACCTAACAGGTGGGAATTCCCCAACTCAGGTCACAGAGGGTACTGGGCACATTGGAGCAGATTCTGCCAAGAATCATGCTGACTTTTGCCTGGGTGGCTTTGGGGCCATGTGCTTGCTATGTGTGCTATATCTTTACAGAAAATTATAGAAATAGGATGACTTGATTTTTAAAAGAACAGCTGGAAAAGAAATTAATGAGCCATGCAAGCTCACTGCATGAACATTAGATCCTGGAAGGGAGGCTGCTAACAAATGACCCCAAGCAGGAAGAGTGGAAGCTTGGACGCCACACAGCGCGCAGGCCCAGGGCCAGGGACCACGTATTGGGCAAGGGTTACTCAGCAGCAACATTTTACTGCCGTAAATGACATGACCGGCCTCTTAAATTCACAGGCACCTGGCAAGCCAGCCTTGGGGACACAGCCAATATTTTCATCCCCCACCTCTTTACCCGCCTTGTCTGGTGACCTACCTATAAACAGCACCTGACCTGCACCAATGCCAGCAACCTAAAAATCTAGCGCTACTCTGCCAGGATTTCCATTAGACCTTCGTGTAATTTTTTCAGCAAGGGGTTAGAGAGATAATTTACATGGCCAGACAAGGGCTTTTTTTTGGCGAAGGAGGGAGGAGAAAGGATGATGTTGATGGTGAACGGTGGGTTAAGAGGCTCCCACTCCCCCGTCACACCTCTACCAAACCTTGCTGTCCCACTGGGCCCAGGCTGCCCTAGCACTCCTGATCCCACAAACACAATTGTACCTGATGGCCCAGGGCCTAGGGGTGTCCACAGCTCACCCCATCACTGGCCTTGTCAAGCAGGCCTATACCAGCTAATTCAGGGCTGGGAAGCCAGACTGCTGTCTGCTTCCAGTACAGTGGCTCTCAATTCCTGTGCCTTACATTTCACCAGGATCAAATCAAATCCCAATTTTCCCAGGATCAGTTCATTGTTACTCCATTTACCATGTGTGGAGAAATTTAAGGACATAAAAACTTCTAGCAGCACAGTTAGAAGTAAATTTTATTTGGGGCCTTAAAAAAACACAACAGCTGGGTGTGGTGGCTCACGCCTGTAATCCCAGCACTTTGGGAGGCCGAGGCGGGTGGATCACAAGGTCAAGAGATAGAGACCATCCTGGTCAATATGGTGAAACTCCGTCTCTACTAAAAATACAAAAATTAGCTGGGTGTGGTGGCGCGTGCCTGTAATCCTAGCTACTCAGGAGGCTGAGGCAGGAGAATTGCCTGTACCCAGGAGGCGGAGGTTGCAGTGAGCCGAGATCGCGCCATTGCACTCCAGCCTGGGTAACAAGAGCGAAACTCTGTCTCAAAAAAAAAAAAAAAAAACACACAACAAAAGGCTGGGCACGGTGGCTCACACCTGTAATCCCAGCACTTTGGGAGGCCAAGGTGGGCAGATCACCTGAGGTCAAGAGTTCAAGACCACTCTGGCCAACATGGTAAAACCCGATTTCTACTAAAAATACAAAAAATTAGCCAGGCACCGTGGCGGGCAACTGTAATCCCAGCTACTTGGGAGGCTGAGGTGGAGAACTGCTTGAACCTGGGAGGCTGAGGTTGCAGTGAGCTGAGTTAGTGCCACTGTACTCCAGCCTGGGTGACAGAGCGAGACTCCATCTTAAACACACACACACACACACACACACACACACACACACACACACAGACACCCCCCAAAAACAGCATTAGAACTCAACAACTCATACTATCAAGTAAAAACAGTACTGCTTTGCAATAGTGAGGTATTAATAGTTATAGGACCATTAAAAATGTTACTGCAGGCTGGGCACGGTGGCTCATGCCTGTAATCCCAGCACTTTGGGAGGCCAAGGTGGGCGGATCACCTGAGGTTGGGCAGTCGAGACCAGCCTGACCAACATGGATAAACTCTGTCTCTACTAAAAATACAAAATTAGCCAGGCGTAGCGACGCATGCCTATAGTCCCAGCTACTTGGGAGGCTGAGGCAGGAGAATCACTTGAACATTGGGGGCAGAGGTTGCAGTGAGCTGAGATCATGCCATTGCACTCCAGCCTAGGCAACAGGAGCAAAATTCCGTCTCAAAAAAAAAAAAAGTTATTGCAATGACAAAACACATTAAAAACCTTTACTCCCATATTAAAAAGTTGTACTGTGGCTGGGCACAATGGCTCACACCTGTAATCCTAGCACTTTGGGAGGCCGAGGGTGGATTACTTGAGGTCAGGAGTTCGAGACTAGCCTGGCCAACATGGTGAAACCCCATTTCTACTAAATATAAATAAATCAGCTGGGCGTGGTAGCGTACACCTGTAATCCCAGCTGCTCCGGAGGCTGAGGCAGGAGAATCACTTGAACCTGCGATGTGAAGGCAACAGCAAGCCGAGACCATGCCACTGCACTCTAGCCTAGGGGACAAAATGAGATTCCATCTCCAAAAAAAAAAGTTGCACTGAGACTATTGTAAGTAGACATATGGATGTAACTTAGGGATAATATCCCGCGCCCATCTACTTCAATCTCTCTCTGGGGGCCTAATCAAACGTTACTGTAACACACTGGTAACGGGGGACTGAGCACACCAGTTAAAGCAACAGCAGACCTCCCAAAAAAAAGGACCTTGGCTGCAACTGCATTGAGGTAAGTCTCTTACTTGCCTTACCCGTTGTTTCTCCCTAACAGATCGTGTGCTTAACAGCAGGGAAAACGTGTGCTTTGTCAGGGGTACCCTGTGTCTCGGCCGTTATCAGGGTGAGTGGCAGCCAAGGCACCACTGTCTATGGGCAGCATCAACAGCAGCAGTGCTGGCCTCACTTCCGATCGGAGCGTCTACTTATGGGTGCTGGGCACACCCATGCTCTCTAAGCCTCACAGTAACCCTGCAAAGTAAGTTTTTTGTGTGAATAGGTAATACATTAATAATTCACATAAAAGTATACAGTAGAAAGCCTCGCTCACATTCTTCTCCTCCATTCCAGAACCTCTGTCCTGAGTCACTGTTACTAGCTTCTCATGTCTCTCCAGAATGTCTTTGTCTTTGTTCACTGCAAGGCAAATATGAATACATATTTATCCACTCTTCTTTTTCATACTAAAGGAAGCACACTATGCACTGTCTCACCTCTGCTTTCTCATTCAATCTCTCTCTTTTTTTTTTTTTTTTTTTGAGATAGGGTCTCACTCTGTCACCCAGGCTGGAGTGAAGTGGTACCATCATAGCTCACTGCAGACTTGACCTCCCAGGCTGAAGCAATCCTCCCACTTCAACCTCCTGAGTAGTTGGGGCTACAGGTGAGTGTCGCCACACCTGACTCATTTTTTTAAAAAATTGTTTTTGTAAATAGGGGGTGGCACTATGTTGTCCAGGCTGGTCTCAAACTCCTGGCTGCAGGAGCAAGGCAATCCTCCTGCCTTGGCCTCCCAAAGTGCTAGGATTAAAGGTGTGAGCCACCACACTCAGCCTCCTAGTATACCTTGTACATCAGTCTGTATGGCACAAAGACAGCATCGTCACTCTTCTAAAGCTGCAGAGTATTCAACTGTTTGGACAAACTGTGATTTATTGTGGAAGCGCCCCACTGATGGACACCTATGCAGCAATGAATGCCCTTGCACATATGCAGTTTTCACATGAGTGAGTAATGCACCTACAGGATAAACTCCCAGTGGAGTAACTGAGCCAAATATTTTTACAGCATTACTAAATTGCCTCCATGAAAAATGGAAAATGCAATAATGCCTGTTTCCCTACAGGAAGGTAGGTACTGTTGTCATACTATCCATGAGAAAACAGAAGCTTAGAGAGGTCAAGAAACTTGCCCAAAGTCTCATTCATTCATTCATTCATTCATTCAGTATTGAGTACATACCATATGTAGACACTGATACAGCACAAATTAAAACAGGCATCGTTCCCTCATGAAATTCAGGTTCAAGTGGGATGAGAAGGTAAGTGAAATATATTCGATCTGATGATGATAAGTGCTATGGAGAAAAACGAACCAGGGAGAGAAGAGAAAGTGCTGGGAGGAGGGGACCGTAGTGATTTCAATGTCAAATAGGATGGCTGCTGGGCGCGGTGGCTCTCGCCTGTAATCCCAGCACTTTGAGAGGCTGAGGCGGGAGGATCACGAGGTCAGGAGTTCAAGACCAGCCTGACCAACTGGTGAAACCCTGTCTCTTATAGCAGGCTGAGAGGATGCTTGGGGAAGTGTATCCCCACAGAGAACAACTTTAAGGGCTCCAAGGCGGAGGGAAGCACACCAAGTAGAGATGTAGCAGAGCCAGCACCAGGGAACAGAGAGGCCCATCAGACCCCAGAGCAAGCACACTGTCTCCCGTTCCACAGGCATATCACCTAGCTCTGAAGACCAGCCTGCATGGCCACTCCCAAGCGTTCTCAGGACAGGGCCAGCCCGTCTCAGATCCCAGGCCAATCTGGGAAGCACAGTCATTTGACTTACATGACTCTGGCTTATTTCGATTGGGCTTAACAAAAGAGGAAGAGAACAGAACGTATTTTTCTCCTGTCTTTCAAATTAAGAAACAGAAATACCTAGAACATTTAATTAAATAAATGCAAAAATAAAAACTATGCAGCCCAGTTTCTGCACCATAAGGGTATACTTTTGTTTCAGAAAAAGTCTAGTTAAAAAATAGTGCTAAATATTAAGTAATGAGATTCTCTGTTGGGCCTGAATTCTCATGTGTCAATGGGGCTTTGCTCTGGATGAGGATATTAAAAAAATACCCAGGGCAGAACCCTGGTGCCTCTGAGAGATGGGGTTTTCAGGGTGGGCAGGGAAGTAAGAGTGGCAGGAGCACAAGGGGCCATGCTCCGAAGAGGAGGCCAGCAAAGCTCAGAGCAGAGCAGGCCCGCGGGGTCCAGGCCAGGTGTGGCACCTGTCTTCGCTGCAGCACATGAACAGGGCGGGGATTCGGTCTGGAGTTGTGAGCTGGGACTCAGGCTGTGCAGTCCCAAGCTAAAGGGCTTCAGCTGGGACCCTAGTGCTTGCACTGTCTAGTCTGGCAGCACTGGTCTGCAGTGGAATGTGCTGTCAGTGTAAATACACACGGGGTTCTAGAATTCCTGCATGAAAAAAAGAAGGTCAATGATCTCATTTATAGTTTTTATACTGGTTATATGCTGAAATAATATTTTGGATATATAGCTATAATAAAATATTTTCTTAAAATTTCACCTGGTTTTTACTTTTTTAACGTGGTTATTAGGAGAGTGAAACTTGCACACATGGCTGGCACTGTGTTTCTACGGGGTGCTGCTGCAGACCGTTTCTAGAAAGGGAAGTGGCAGAATCACATGGAACCCAGCAGTAGGTGCTGACTGCAAGGTGGGGTAGGGTGACGAGGAACCAGTTAGGAGGCCATGCCATGGACGAAGAGGTCTTCAACTTGACCAGGAGCAACGTGGCAGAATATGGCTGGGTGTGGGGCATGATGGAAAGCAGGAGTGTGTAAACACCCCTGGGTTTTACCCAGTATGCAGCTAAAAAGGTCTGCAACTAACAAGTGTGACCAGGAATGTCACAGAAGTTGGCTCCTCCGTGGAGGATCGCTGAAGCTCAGGTCAAGGCTGCAGTGAGTTCCAACCCTACCACTGTACTCCAGCCTAGGTGAGAGCGACCCTGTGTCTAAAAGAAAGATCTCCAAGGAAGCCGGTGCAGCAAGGAGGAGGAAGATAATGTGGGACTCTTGAAAACCTCTGTACAGGGCACAGGACAAAAACCAGGAAAGCAGAAGAAAAATCCAAGCAAACAACCCAGAAGTGCCACGAGGAGAGCAGAAGAGGAAGGAACTGCCACAAAGGGCCAGAGCTTCAGAGAACAGGCCTCTGAGACTTGAGGAAGCTGAGCCCTAGAGGGATGGAGTGCACAGGGAGGCAGGATCCTTAGGAGAGAGCACAAGGAAGCAGTGATGGGCAGAGAAGGTACTGAGAGCAAAGGGACACCGTAGGGGAGGAGGGCGCGGGCAGGGGCCTGGTGGAGGAAGGTGAGGTCCAGGAGAGAGAGACAGGGGAGGGACCTGCTCCCTGGGCTGGAAAGGAGGCTCTGGGGAACAGAGACAAGCAGAGGCAGGAGGCTCTGGTGGGAAGCAGTGAAGGAGAGCGGCAGTCCCAGTTGCAGCCCTTCTAGGGCAGGGGTACTAAGTGATGGGCAGGGCAGGTACTCAGCGAGGAGCGGGAGAAAAGGCAGGGGAAGCAACAGAGGTGCTAGCAGAGCAGCTGGTCTGGCCACAGGGCTCTCCATTAGAGTCCAACTCCAAAATGCTCCAAGGCCCATGCTTAATAATCACTTTCATAAAAACAAAACACCCAAAACACAAATAAACCTTAAAAGCAAAACAAGGTCGGGTGCAGTGGCTCATGCCTATAATCCCAGCACTTTGGGAGGCCGAGGCGGGAGGATCACATGAGGTCGGGGGTTCGAGACCAGCAGCTCAACTAACATGGAGAAACCCCGTCTCTACTAAAAATACAAAATTAGCTGGGCATGGTGGCAGGCACCTGTAATCCCAGCTACTCAGGAGGCTGACGCAGGAGAATCCTTTAAACCCGGGAGGTAGAGATTGTGGTGAGCTAAGATTACACCTTTGCACTCCAGCCTGGGTAACAAGAGTAAAACTCTAACACACACAAAAAAGCAAAATGAAATATGGACACATTTCTGTGTATATCAAGACATGTGCTCTGGGCCAGTGCTCTGGAGATCTAGGCTCCAACATGTCCCCAGCAAGCACTCAGCCCAGCCCTCCCCATGCTTCCAGCTCTGAAATCCAAATAGACCGTGCCACTTCAGATATGAATAAAAACAAAAATCACAGGAACAACGAAAACACTACCATCCCAAATGCCATCAACTGGTGAGATTTTCTAAGTACACTAGACTAGTTAAAAGGAAACAAGAATAAAAATAAGTCTATAACCACATTAACGTGTCACTGTGAAAGCAACTAACACTGGTGCTTTCTAAGGCACTTCGTTTTCTTTTTCTTTTTCTCCACTACTATCAATAAGACAAGCAAAAAACAAAAATCAGATTGGGGGATCTGCATTTCAAAATGCAGATATTAATTTATAACAAAAATACTGAAACAATTCAAAAACCACAGCAGCTGCTAGCAAAGCCGTAATGCAACCACAAGCACAAACGGCAACCGAAGGCTCTGATTGTGTAAAGGCGTCTGAAGAGGGCTCAGGAAGCATCAGGAAAGGGCATTTCAAAGCCATGTGAAGAGGGGATCGGATGTCATTTTCTCTATGTTCAAGCTTTAAGGAGTAGATCATTACGGGCTCACTTCCTTCCTTCAATTAGAAAAGCAACAGAAACAAAACCAACAAAATGTGCAGACCAGCACTTTTTATCAAAATAGACAGAACATTGCTAAGCCCCACACCTGGGAGGCACGCAGAGCTGGCAGGATGTGCCACCAGCTTAGGCTGGCAGCAGTATCCCTCCATATCCCAGGAGTTAGGGCCATCTCCTCTCCAGCATGCCCTTCAGTAAGACTGGATCTAAATCCGACCAGGAGACGCAGGGCCTACCCAGTGTGTCTGCCTCAGCCTTACAACCTCGCAGAGGAGAAGGGCAACAGCAGAGGGTATCATGTCAGAAAAAGGCAAATGCCAAACTCTTACATTTTATATTTCATCCAACAATTAACACATACTTGAAAATCCTTTGAAGTTACCATTCTGTGAATACGCTCCAAAATCAGGATTTTTACAAAGACAACAAGGTTGCTTTCATCACCATACAGGAATTGTCCCTTCGTAACTCTTCCTCCCCAAATAGATCATCACTAGTTATAAAAAGTAAATGTCAGAACAGGGTAGAGTGAAAACACACACACACACTACACACACACACACACACACACACACACACACACAAACACTAAAAAAGTAAACTCCTTGCCCCTCTGGGGTGCTTCACAGCAGGTTGAATGTGACCCGGGTGACTCTCCTCTGTGGGCAGCTCTGATGATGAGGACGGGCTCACTGGTCTGGGAGCTTGTGGGATGAACT